ATGGCAAACAATAACAGATCACAGACAGAGAAAAATGATTCATAATTGAAAAATGTAAGCACGGGCTATGATTAGTTCTCTCACATTCATAGCTAGCATGCTGTTCTGTTGGAGATTCTTTTGACAATGATTAGCTTATGGATCTATTCATTTGCTTGATGCATAATTAACTAACTGCCGTGGTTTAACTGCTGTACCATCAGTGTGCTTTCTTGCTGGTTTGTTGATATATTCACCCTCCATTTTATTGTTACCTCCTGTTCTTCTGCTCCTTGACTGCATAATCTTCTCTCATTAGTGTCCTACCATTCTCATCACACCTCTTTTCTGACTCACTGCTCCCCTTCCTCCTCATCTCACTCCTCCCCCTTACTTCCTGTCATCTCTATCACACATTCCTTCTTCACTTCCCCTTTACTGCTCCAAGTTCACCCACTCTACCCTCATCCTTCTGTCCCCTGCTCACACACAACTGCAAGTCCATATCTCACTTCTGCATTCTCTGTCAATTCCCCTCCTTGCCTCTGACATAATCTGCCCAGACACCAGCTTCTCAAATCCCACAACCATCCCTGACACTATCTCCACTCCAGTGGCTGCCCCTTCAAACCTTATACCCATCTGCACCTTCATTACCTTCCTATGCTCCTTCTCTTCCTCACTGTGGAATACTTATTTCACCCAAAGAGAGATGACTGCTATGCACAACCTCCTCATCTCTCCTTCCTTCCATCTCTTCCTATCCACAGAAACCAGAATTTCTATTGCTATGCCACAGCTCTGCCTCAGCAGCTGCTCTTTTTTGGCCTCTCCTCTTACCTTTCACTCCAAATATCAGATAGTGGCATCAGGCTAGTACTCTCCTGTTCCCGTTCTTTACAGCTCCCCCCATTCTCACTCATTCTCTCCCTCTGCATGCTGCTGTCATCACTTACTCTCCATCCACCTGCTTTGATTTTGACACCTGGCTTTCCCTCTTCTTCACCTAACATTCCTCCACTTTCACCTAGGGTGATTTCACCTTCCACACTGATGCTTCAGCCAATGAATTTTACTCTTACCGTTACTTCCTCTTGACATAGAACTCTGGATCAACTCTCCCATTCCCTCAAATGGCCACTTCCTCAATCTTCTCTTCACCAAAAACGGCTTATTTTTCTCACCTCTCACTGCCCAAGTTCTCTCTGACCAACTCTTGATTTCCTTCAACATCGCCCACCTGCCACCTACTTCTCCTTCTCAGTCCTTCTCCGGCCTCCACTCCACCAATGTATTGACTTTTTTACTACTCATATGCCCTCTTCTCTGTTCCTTCTTCCCTCTTCTCTAATGACTCAGCTGTAAACCCTCTTCAGTCTCTCATTCTCTTTGGGTTCATTCCTCTCACAAACATGTTCTGCTCTATCCTCAAACACCTCTGCCCCACCTGGCTCTCCAATAAAGCCCAATTTCCCTTCATATCCAAACTCAGTCAATGTGTCATCTACCATCACTGACCTAAATTCCATTTGGACACCCCTCCACTCTGGCTTTCACTCTCTGAACTGAAACCTCTCACATTAAGGCTCCAAGTACTTTATTCTCAGCCAAATCTTAAGGCTTCTACTCCATCTTCATCCTCATGGACCGCTCTGCTTTCTTTTTACACTGCTGATCAATGTACTTCATGATATCTTATACTCTTCCCAGGGCTTTCATTCTTCCAGTCTCTACTAGTTCTCCTATCTCTCTCTGGCTATTTCTTCAGCATCTCTCATCTCCATGGGAGGATCGTAGGGTTCCATCCCTGCCTTCTCTTCTTCTTCTTTTATATCCTTTCTTTGTACAAACTCTTCTGCTCATATGGCTTCAATTACTGTCTTCATGCATGTCTCACAAATCTACCTTTCTACATCTGACCAGAATCCCTCAGCCCAATACTGCATCTCAGCCTCTCTTCTCCTACATGTTTCACCATTGACTTAAGCTTAACATGGTCCAAACTGAACTCCTTACCTTTCCTCTCACCTCTTCCCCTTCATTTTCTGTCACTATTGACAATACTACCATCCACACTGGCTGAAAATTCTCAATTTCTTAACATTTGTATATTTCATGGTTGTTTTTACAAACCACACAATTTTTTCATACAATTATTTAATTTACCCACCAAAATAAATGAACTATGAAATGTTCTTGAACAGATTTTGCATTCTCATACACCAGTGTAAATCAGGCGGAATACCATATTGTCAATAGAATTGTGAGATCAGAATCAGGCTCTCTTCCTCCTCCTGCTATAGACCCTGTGCCCTCCTCCTATGTATTTTCTTCTGTGCTCTCCTGTCTAGCTGTTCCCAGACCCTTCCTCCTGTTGCTGATGACTTCATCATGCTCTTCAACTCCTACCCGCTTCTTCCTAGTCTGAACATACTATTGCTTTGCCCCCTCCCTCTTCCTTTGAGCAGCACCTGCGTCTTTCTTTCTACCAGCTGAGCCATTATACACATTGAATCTATTTCCCCATGTTAAATATCCTCACACCTTCTTGTCAAACTGTCTGAAATGAGCTATCTTGATTATCACTACAAAAAATTTTTCTCTTAATTAATTAGCCTCTTAGAGTTGGTAGGGCAACTCCCACCTTTTCATGTTCTCTGTATGTGTATATATATCTCCTTATGATATGTTCCATTCTATGCATCCGATGAAGTGGGCTGTAGCCCACAAAAGCTTATGCTCAAATAAATTTGTTAGTCTCTAAGGTGCCACAAGTACTCCTGTTCTTTTTTCTAATAAGTATGTGATTGCTTTGGTGTTCTGCAGAAGGGAATCAAGGAAAAGAGTTCAGGCTCTTATCAGACTCCCCAAAATGTAGCATTTAAATAATATGTTGGTAGGGATATGTTAATTCTTTAGCACCAGTGTGTCTGTAGAAAAATCTTACAAAATCTATATCTCCAATTTTAAATATTTATTTTTAAAGACCCCATTTTTTTTTACTGAATATAAAGTGTGTGTGACTTCTTTACAATGCAGCTTTTGACCTGCAGTCATATTGTGCAACCTACAAAATTGCAGCACTACCAGTGTGGGCTGTGCTCTTATCAAGCCTTACTGTGACTAAGCACAGCCCTGAGCAAAGGTTGGTGTCCTGTGTAAGTTGCCACCAACAGAGATGTAAGTGGGTGGCACTGCGAGTCACAATTCCTCCCTCCCCTGCTTCCTTCTTGCTCCCTTGGAGGGAGCAATATTTATTTACTGCTTGGTAAATGGTTTGGAAAACTAGTCGCTGAGTATGTCACGTAATCACGTAGCAGCATCTGCGTGGTGCAGGAGTAGTGAAATAACCATCCTATGAACAGAAAAGAGGGCACTATCATATGTGAAGATATTGCATCAAAAATATCCTAATCAATTCAGCCTACTTCTAAGTATAGTCTCATCGGGGAAGACAGAGGGCAGAAGCACAATAAGAGATGCTGCTGAGTTTTGCCGTGTTGGTCCTCTGGCTCTCATCAATCCCACCCCACTGAGGTAGTTTCTTCTAATTAGTGGTGAGGAAAGGAGAAAAGGGGGGAGGAAGAGAACCAGAGGTAAAAAGAAAATAAGAAGGAAAAGATTTTGCAGATAGCAAAAAAAGAAAAACAATTATTTCAATAACATAATATAAAGGAAAAGAAATAAAAATTGTAATCCTTATAGTTTCACACAGTTAGGGTCAAATATAATTTGGTAATAATACTGTAATATAAAAACAGGGGCTAAAATAGACAAGTAATTTTAAACCCAAATATTCTGCAAACTGTTTAGCACTTTTCAATAAATTTCTCAGAAGTCCACTTCAAAGCCCCAATCCTGCAAAGACTTTAGCATGTACATAACTTTATGCACATGCATAGTCCTATTAATTCCAATGGCACTACTCATATACATAAAGTGATACATGAGCTTGAGACGTTGCAGGATCAAGGCCTTAGCATTTCAGAAAACAAAAAGCCCTCAGTTTCTGTTTGAGAACACATCCATCTTAAACACAACAAAATCATAAAGTTTAATGTCATGGTATGCACTTTATGCAGATTGCTACAATCCAAGATTACGGCGGCTGAACATTTGACACTTACCAATTATTTGCCTATTTACAGCAACATTAATTGCAGAACCAGCATAAAAAAACCAAATTTTTGGGGTGACAATAAAATTACATCATATTATGTATTAAAATTATAGGCAACGTGATGTACATTGCCCTAGAAATTGTGCTAATATAAAATTAAAATGGAATCACATTTGAGTAATTTTGATTTACTTTATTTTTTCATATTTTGTAAAATACTAACATTTTAATATCATTATTATAAACAAAACTTGCATATTTTTATTTAAAAAACAAGTTCTGATATTTGTAGAAGTGATTAGTGATTTAGGTGGTGGCTCAATTTTGGGGTGTCCAAACTGACACACACTAATGGGTCCCAATTGTCAGAGGATAGTTACTCTGAAACAAAGGTCTCTTGAAGATGTTTCAAGTTGGGCACTCAAAGATTGAGGCCCTCCGGAATCACTAGTCATTTTTGAAAATCACTCTAAAGTATATCCCAAAACATTTACATTTTGTTTTCTAAAGACAACCAAAACTGAGTTAATGCAATATTTGCCAATGAATGGTTTCAATTCAAAGATATTTTCATGGCCAGTTTAGGAACAACTGAACACAAGCTCATAATGGAAATGCTGACCAAGTCTTTGAATAGCAGTTATTCCAAAAAGCAAGTACCTAATAGTGAAGTTGCAGTAACTAAGCAGCTCTTCAGTAACTTTCTATTTAAACAGTTGAATCGGGACTCTGCTTAAAAGCTTAAAGCAAAAGAAAAAGGAAGAGAAGGAAGAAAAATATTATAAGACAGACAAAAAGCCAAACAGAAAGAGAAAGGAAAACGTTTAGATTCCCTGAGTGATGGAAATAAATACCAAAGCTATTAGTTTCAGTTCAAAAAGCGTATCACTTATATTGTTTATTATTTCTTTGGAAGATTTATTTTATCTTGAAATTTCAGAATGGTAAAAGGGTAAGTGTGAAGGTAAGAAAGGAGGTGACTGACCTGATCTGGAGAGGGTCGGTGATTTGAGTGCTGGGTCCTCCCAGGAGACCGGTGATGGTGGTGATGATGGTGGTGGTGGAAGTGGTGATGGTCATCATCATAGTTGTCTGCCATCAGTTTCATTCTGTTCTGTGTCTGAACAGGGAAAGGGAGACAATTCCATTGATTGCCTGGTCTGTTCATTCTCTCTGAAGCACCTGGCATTGGCCATTTCAGAAGACAGGATACGGGGCTAGATGGACCTTTGGTCTAACTCAGTAAGGCCACTCTTACGTTGTTAAGTGCTGGAACATATCGGTCAAATACAGTCACGGCAGGATCTACAGTATGGCACCTACACTTCTCCTTTCATTCCAAAATCTAAAAATGTTATCAAAAGTCAAATTCTAAGCCCTCGAGCCCATGATTAGCTCTATGTAGGTCCAAGGGTCTGCCAGCAGAAGACAAATGCAGGACTGGGGCCTAATTAAGGAAAGAAAGAAAACACAGTGGGACAGACTTTGTTTCTATTGATACCTCTCCAACCCCACTAAAGTCACTGAGCCAAATATGGTGCCAATTAATGCCCCATGCAATCACACTGATTTCTACACAAATGGGATCACAGAGTACAGAATTTGGCCCAGTATATTCACTGGGTTTTAGGAGTGTAACAGAGAGCAAAATCTAGCCCAATACTTTTATGTTTACTATTGTAAAATATGAGTTCCTGGATATTTCTTTTTCAATGTGTTAAGTCTTACTGAATAATTGCAAGATCAGATTAAAAGGAATATAAGTTTTCATGCATACTAGCAATTACATTAGCATTCACAGTAACAATGATGAGCGGTTATGGTGAAAGCCTATTTTCGCCTATTTTCAGGGTTTAATTGTGAAGTTGTTTCTTTTACTAGGATCAGGCTGTTAAAACAATCAGGCATAAGAATCTGAAGACTGTATAATACACATACAGGCACAGGCACATGTTAATCAGTGAGAATAAATTTTAACCAGATTCAGGTTATGAAAACAACTGAAAAGATTTGACATTTCAGTTATTGACTTCTAGAGGTAATAAAATATAGTCACCGCCAGGTAATAATAAATAAGATACTGCCTATGATCGCTATTACATTTTTTTCATATCATGTGACACTCAGAGCTCAGCAATCCAGACCTTGCTGGGTCACACTAAAATATTTGTATTATGTAATTTCCCAATCATGCAAACACTTAAACTGGACAGAATACATACTACTGTCAGTAGTCATTATTTAAAATAATTTCAGCCATGCTTGATACATTGTAATCAAGAAAAAACAACAAGGAGTCCTTGTGGCACCTTAGAGACTAACAAATTTATTTTGGCATAAGCTTTCGTGGGCTAGAACCAAGAGATTACCTACCTGCACCTGACAAACCCATGAACAAAATTCAGTTGTTTTCAAAGTCCTTACCCAGAGTTTGTTGGCGCAATTAGATGAGGGTGCAATTAATATAATTTAGATGTCAGAATGATATAATAGGAATCTGCACCCATGTAGTTTTAGTATTAAACAATCCAATACAAACTTGAGTTGAAATACTGTTTGGAAACATTTCATTCTTAAATATGAAAATTAATGCTTGCCATTAAATTCACCAAATTTTGCTTTTCTAGTTTAAAAAAATTGCAAGAGGTTTGTAAAATAAACAAACCAACAAATAAATACCATATATTGTAGTGCTGCAACCAAATTTTAAGTATAACTATTTTGCTGTAGAAAGGCACAGTATGGGGGAGGTTGTGAATTATAGGGATCATTGAAAAAAGAGATGTCAAATTTGCACTTACTATAAAAACATACTACAGCAGAGCTCCCCAATAGGATTGTGTCCACTGGGTTGTGATGAGGGGGAGAGGAGATAGGTGCCCCCTGTAGATGAACTCTGTTACCTCAAGTGAAATACCACAAAACACCCACAGGCAGTGCAGGAGCAGCCAGAGGTAAGATGCATAAAACCTCTTGGCAAACACTTGGCAAATATTTAGCCACTATCAATATTTTTATAGTATCTCAGGGGCAATAAAATGTTCAAAAAAGGATCATCTCCGTGTTTCACATAATTAATTCCTCCAACGGCCAGGTGGCAGAGTAATTGGAGCAATGTCCCATCCTTGTAATCAAATACATTGCCACATGCTAAGTCACTGACAAACCCATATTTTCCATTTTGTTTCAAAAGAGATGATCTTCCATTTCCTTTTAAAACAATGGAAGGATGAACAGCGAAAACGACTGAATACCAGAGCTGGTTGGGAAACAAAGTTTCAATTTTGTGGAAAATTCTGTGATTTCTAAATTGTTTTTTTTACTGAATAGAACAAATGTCAAATGTAGAAATTCCCCACAAGAATTTGTGTGTGCAAAATTTTGTTTTGGGACAATCAAATTTCAATTTTGACTTTTTAAATGTTAATATTTTATTTTGTATTAATTTTTATTTTATTTTATATTTTAAATTCATTTTATAAATATAAAAATTGTATAACAAAAACATAAAATCAAAATAATAAAAACCCTATAAAATAAAATTTTCAAAATGAAATGTTGAAATCAACATGTTTTCACAGAATGTTTTGACTTCAACAAATCAGTATTTTTAGATCAAAAACATTCCACTGGAAAATTTTTGATCAGCTCTACTGAAAATCAGTATGAGTAATGCAGAGGGAGCAGGTGAGATGGAGGAAGAGTGAGGTGGCCTGTTGTTTAGGAGAAAATATGAAGTAACGGAGGGTGGAAAAAGGGAGCAACAGTTGAACATGCACCCGCTGGCTTCACAAGAGCAGCCACTCGAGGCTACAAAGAACAAAGCACTTATGAAGGTGGAAAATTTGGAAGCTATTACCAGCAAACTTATCTCAAAGAAAAATCTATGGAGTGGCCCAGAGGTACCCGAAATTTAGACAGGTTTCGTGGTGAAGCTTCTGTGAATCTGTCAGAGATGGGAGTACAATTAATTTTCTGTCTTTTTCCCCTGCCCTTTATGCACTAAAATAAATACCTACAAACTGAAATTGAACAAAATATTAATTAAAAACATATCCTTGATATTTGTTGCATCTTTAAGTTAATTACTGTAATAAATGAACCTACATCCAGACTCTTGTTTCAAGGGTAAGAGGTATAGGAAAGGAAACCTCTAAATAGGACAATGGTCTAAGGTCTGTAGAGGGTCGTCATTTACAACTGCTCTTGCATTTGGATTAGACTTCCTGCTAAATAATGGAAATGGGTTCCAGTCTTTTATCTTTGGGCCTTCTCTGTACCTGAAGCAATGGCAGCATGAGTTGCACAGGTGCCATACTGATATTAGATGGTGCTCCATGCCTGATACTCAACCAAACCCCCTTGTAAGGTGTATGAAAGCTGCAGAGAGGATGTTATATCCTGTTATTCTAAACTGACAAAAGCTTGTCTCTCTCACCAACAGACGTTAGTCCAATAAAATATATTACCTCAACCGTCTTGTTTCGCTAATATCCTGGGCTGCAACAACACTGCATACCTTGAAAAAAGACATTTAATAACTGAGTTACAACTTACTACTCTGATGTATATTTGGAATAGGAAATAATGTTGCTATCTCCAGTAATGCAGTGTGGAAACTAGGAGTCAAAAGTTTTTTTTGTTTTTTTTTTTAATGTCAGTCAACAATGATAACAATGTAGGCACAAGACAACAGGTAGAGAAATGAGAGTCAACAGCTGACATTTTAAACCGAGACAAGCAGCTCTAGATTATACCTGTGCTACAAGTGTTAAATGGTTCCTGCTAAAAAAGCATACACAATGGATATGTAAAACAAATTCACATAGCAGAGACATATTGAGCAGGCTTTATCGGATGATGAAGCCAGGGCCGCCCAGAGGATTCAGGGGGTCTGGGGCAAAGTGGGGGAGCTGCGGCGCTTGTACTCACCCGGCAGTGGTCCGGGTCTTCGGCAGCATTTTGGCGGCGGGGGGCCCTTCAGTCATTCCGCGTCTTCGGCAGCACTGAAGGGCCCCCCGCCGCCGAAATGCCGCCAAAGACCCGGACTGCCACCGGGCCGGGGCTCACGGGGCCCCTGTGGGGCCCGGGGCAAATTGCCCCACTTGCTCCCCCCCCCCCAGGCGACCCTGGATGAAGCTGAAAGTTCAGCACTGCTAAGACAGGTGGGTGAGATACATTTGTGACAGAACTTTTCCATCCTAGAACTATCTCCATCATTGGTGTCAGAAAATATTTTCATACCTGCTTATTCCATACTGGCACCTGATTCTTTTTAGACCTCTATTTTGCCTATCAACATTCTAGTTCCAGTGCACCACAATACATTCAACATGAGTTGACACCTCTCAATCATTATCCTGGGCTAAGAAAGGATTTGCAGTAGTGTACCCTCATTTTCTGCTTAACAACAGTGTAACAGAACATTTCTAATACACGGAAGGAAAAGATGATATGTATTTTCATTAAATGGCCAGAATCATTTAATAACATGGAATGGCTGCAGGCATCTTAAATCTGTGTGTTTACTAGAAACAGAATATAGAAAGAGTTTGTGCTGACCTGTAGCTGTGCGCTCGTTTAAGTTCTAAACTTAATAAGAAGAGGGGAAGAGACCCTGTGTCAGTATCTTTCTCATCAGCATAGCACTGAATGTTTTCTGTACAATTAGGGCCATTCTGCTTCCTCCACACTGGATAAGGGGAGAGAAGCATATGACTGTGTGTACTTATCAGGGCCGGCTCCAGGCACCAGCTTGTCAAGCAGGTGCTTGGGGCAGCCGCTCCGGAGAGGGGCGGCACGTCCAGGTATTCGGCGGCAATTCGGTGGACGGTCCCTCACTCCACCTAGGAGTGAAGGACCTCCCGCCGAATTGTGGCCGCAGATCGCGATCACGGTTTTTTGGTGGGTTTTTTTTTGGCTGCTTGGGGCGGCCAAAACCCTGGAGCCGGCCCTGGTACTTATGCAGGAGTTTCTTCTAATTTTACCAGAGGATCAACTCTCTCTGAATTATAGGTAGATTGTTTGCATTTATATTCAAGAAGGAAGGCCTTTTTCACGAGGGTGAAAAAGATGGAGAACAAATGGACAAATAATAACCCAGTTACTGTAAACACTGTA